ATCTCTTGAATGTAATCTATATTAAATATTTTTTCCCCTTTTCTGTAAATATTAGGGTGTAATTGTCCACGTCTTATGATAAAATAGAAACAATTTGTTGACTATCTTTTACATGTCTTGTGTTTATATGTTACACAAAGTTCTAGTTATCATCATATCTTATTTGTTTTGTTACAATGTAAAACTTTTTCTGAAGTGAATTATGATACATTACCTAAAATGTTTAAGTCTAGGTTATATTTTTGTTTCTGCATTTGTTATTTTACAATCTTTAAAGAAATCATTGGTAATGAAAATGTTATTAATACGGTCTTATTTTATTTTCTTTGTTGTTTTTGTGTCTACTAGACTTTGTGCCGCCTTAAAAAAATCTCTTTCATGCTATTTTTGTATCCTTAAGAGTAGCAATAAATAATAACCATATACATCCTGATTGTCTTTGTTGTGCTGTATTATTCTTCTGCAGTTACTCTCATGGATGAATGAATATTAAACCTGACCCGAGAACATAATGTGGTCTGTTAGTGCTGTTAGTCTGTGCAGTAAAGACAGCTCAGAGGTGTCTCTTCACTCTCTATGCTCCCTATTATGAGAGGGAAATTAAAATTGAGTAGACCCACAGTAGACAGTGACTCATCAAGAGCTCCCCTCCTGTCCTGAACAGACAGACTCATGGGAGACTCAACATGTTTGTTTATCATTTATTTCATCCAACATAAAAGTAGTTTAACCCGGTAAAATGATGTGCTATTTACATAGACACACATGTCTGTGTACAGTGCACACACAGTTTCAAACCCCATTCCTCCCTTAAATAACAAATAACTAGAAGGGGGCTTCCATCCCCCTCCCCGGAGGCTGTAGTTGCTATGGAGACAGCTTGTTTGGTGCTTCGTCCCCGTGTCGGAGGAAGGACTCTGTGAATGAACCTTGTGTTCAGGAAGTCTCTGCTTATGACATCACCATGGGTAAAAAAAAAAAGCAGCACGTGGGCTTCTCTGCATGAGCTGTCTCATACAGCCCACCCGTAGAGAGATGCCACGATGACTCACGCGCCCTTTAGCACTGGATGGTGCAATGAGTTCGGAGCGCATACAGATTTACTGTGTGAAATCGAGCAAGAATGAAATACATGATGAGCTTGGCATTCCATTCAGCTCGCTTCTTGAGTTATTAAATAAAGTAAGTGAGCTCATCGGGACACAAAAGGGCCTCAAGTTTCACGGGCCACAACGGCTACATTTTTTTTCAACTGTAAATGAAAACCTCCACATGAATTTAGATTTTTTGAATGACCCATGTGTAAAGCTGAACTGGCTGTATTATTCATTTTACCAACCTTTTACTCCACCACTCAGGTGTCTTGAGGAATAAAGATTTTTTTTAAAAAGTGGTCAGCTGCAGAGCAACAGTATAACGGGCTGTTTGTGTGGAATAAAGATGACATTGTCCATTTGCAGACACTCCAGAAAAACTCCACATCATTTTTTTTCAGAGACATGAGTCAGTTTCCTGGGCTTCAGGTGTTTAAATCCGCCTTCTGAACGCTAAAGTAGGCAGTCTTATTGAATTATTAGGTGGGAGTATAGATTGAGGAAAGTTGCATCAAAACATAATCTAAATTAAGGCAATGATTAAATATGTCAATCTTAGAGTTGTATGATGTTATTTTTATTCTGCTGTCTTTGTTTCAATAAAAGAAATATGCAACCCGTTTCTCAATCATTTTGTGGTAAAGTTTCTAACATGATCTTAACTCGGCCCATGAGAAACATAGTAAGGGAAATGTACTCAGAGGGGAGAATTCAGGTCTGATGATCAGTCCTTATGAACCGTTTGTATTAATGATGAAAAGGCAGATATGCATGGAAACACTGTGTGTACAAGTGTATGTCCGTACCCTGTATTATAGTGACAGCTAGTGTAGCAGGAGAAAACTAAAAGTGAGTGGTGAGCTCCGCTAATGTCCTGCAGGGGGAGACAAGAAGTTGTGAATGTGATCCAGAAGCACTAGAAGCTGTTCAGCAGCACTCCACTGCAATCAAGAGACTTTAACTGAGGCACGTTATAGAACAGAGGGGAATACTTCAACACAGTGTATTTTTAACCACTGAACTGGAAAATGCAGTCAGTATTGCAAATTGAATGCGATGAAGCACATGTCAGCAGCTTACAAAAGCTTCTTTGACAAAACAGCTGTATGCTTTATTTAGCTTTTCTGAAGACATTTTAGCATTTCAACAACTGCAGCGTATTCAACCATTTTATAAGTTGGAATGAAATTCTAAAAGAGATTTGTGTGGACACATAATGAGTCTGTTAAAGGCAGACCCATTGTTGGGACTTCTGAGGACATAAAAAAGCCGTTATTATACTGCCTCAGCAGGCCACAGTTTCTTTTGGATCAGGAGGAAGCACAAATAAAGGAGCAGACAAAGGCACAAATACACATTTGACAAATACTGTGGAGCGTCTTTATCTTCAGCTGGTGGTGCACAGTCATTTGTGTGTTTTGAAAGCAAATTGTGCATTTGTGGGGACCAGTCTGAGGAACATAATGGTGCATTTTATTACTAATATCATGACCTTAACCAGCCAACATGTCTTAGTGTGGACCGGCATGGAAAGGGGTGTTAATAGAGAGCTGTGTATGTTGTACAGATTGTAAAGCCCTTTGATTGTGGGCTGTTGTGAGGGAGCAACATTAGTCAGGCACAAGTCATTTTTATTAACCCACATTCAATATCAATGAGAGACAAAACATCTTCCTAATGAGTTCATAGTCTCTAACACTAGTTTTGTCTCCATCAATGCAACGTGATGTTCATTTTATAAAAAAACGATGGTCCCATTTAGAATAAAATAGACAATAAAGCCGTTCATAAAGTGATGTTCGGTTCAGCGCAATATCATGTAATTTTGGACACAACACATGCGCCGTAAAATCTGGTCTGCACTTACTGAAGGACTCACTAGCCGGCACACGATCATTGAACAAGAGGATTTGTTTCACTGAGGGTGTCAATAGTAGCCTACTTTATGAGTGAGAATTGCAATTCTCCAATTATTGAAAACATCCTTCATAAAATACTATAAATAATAAATGCTTTCTGTTTGTAGACGACCTTTTGAGTGTACCCAAATTGTTCTGTCAGGCCAAGCGCAACTAAAGAGCACGTAAGAAGACAACATCCCTTTATTTCTATCTCTGTCTTATGTAACCTATTCAACATTTTCCCACACATGTAACACATGTCCCAGTTACACTGCACATGTGTCATACCCCAAAGCTCAAGATCCAGCCTTCCATTCAAAAGCCTTGGCCGAACTCGAGGCTTCAAAACCGTAGTCCACAAATCAATGGGTGATGTCACGGTGACTATGTCCATATACGGTCTATGGGTCTGACCAGCTATGACATATCAAATAGTCAATGGCTACAGCCTTTCCCTTTTGCTGGAGGACTGCCACATCAGGATACCGGTAACACACAAAGGACAGAAACACTGTAGTGATGATGACTACTGATTAGACTCGAAATTAGCTATACAACAAGCTACATCCCCAAATCAACTCACAACATGTCACAATTGCAGCCTCAATTCTATTGTATTAGTATTCAAATGTCAAGTGATAAAATGTTACACTTTCACTTACATTTTACAGAGACAAAACTAAAGCAGAGAGTGCAGAGAGCTGTCCAAACTGTTGTAATGGTTTATTATTATTATCATCAGAACCAGATGTTGAAGTCCCACTCCTGTTTCGAGGTGAACGGTGACATCAGCTCTGAAGTGGCCCTGATGCTCATTAAGTCGGAGGAAACAACAGGCTCGAGTGGTAAATACAGCTGCCGCCCACCAACAACAACACAAGCAACACACTGCTCCATAGATCATTTCTTTAGCTCTCTCCACCGGCGCCAGTGTCAGAGTTCCTGCGTTTACATAATGCTTCCTTCTCACTGCAGTCCACTCCTGACAAGGGAGTAATTGGCAGGATATTCATAATAAATAATAAAATATCTGGTTTTATGTAAGGGCATCTTTTTAAGGCAAGTAAATCACAAGATCTCATTGGTTTGTTAATCTAAATATGCTGTTAGATCACTGCAGAGTGATGTGTTACTGCAGTAATAATTACACGCTCAGATTCAGTCAATCAGATATAAATATCTCAGTTCCCCTCAACATGCGTTTCCCAGAATTACTTTCAACAACTACCACAAGCAGTGTGTTGCCTTTAATCAAAGGTAGGTGTATGTGTGGTTGCAGGTAAAGTAGTCGACTAGTTTGAGAACATTGTGTCATGTGTATCGTAACAGCCTCGGCCCTCACACAAAACATACAGTATGTTATTGTGATATTGCATTGTTGATGGAGGAATGGGTGATCTGAAAAGAAGCTCTTGCTCAGCGTGCCTCTGGAGACGTCAAGGTCAGTTAGTCTATTGATCGGTACACCACTTTGAGACTAAAGTATCTCACACATTATCGGATGGATATACATTTCATATACAGATTTTGTACATTTATATGTATTCATGAACTACAGCAGAAGGTCTGCAGACCGCTGCCAAGTAAAAGTTTCCATTTACCGAGTGAATCATCTTAACATCTACTGCATGGATTGGCACAAAATGATGTTCACGCGATCTATCCAAATGACTTTGGTGAACCACTAACTTTTCCAGGGCCACGGTGAGTTTGACATTTGTGGTTTTGTGTCACGATGTCTGCCTCATTTGTTTTCATTTCACTCAGTCTGCCCCAGCTTTTGCTCACTTCCCCCAGGGCCATGCATTTCTTAGGACACCTTGCCAATCCCCATCGATCCACCAGATGCCCTCACAATTTTCCACTTGACTCTGTCATTCACCCACTCACCTGTTTCCACTTTCCCTCATCAGCCCTGTCAGCATATACCCACCCACTTCTACAAACTCCTTTCCAGATTGTGTTTTGTGTTTCCATCTTAGCTTTCCAGCTTAATGTTCAGCCTGCCTGACCTTCAGATTTCTGCCCTGCAACCTGACCCCATTTTGGAAAAGTTGGCCTGGTTTTGTTTTTTGCTCATATTTTGATCACAAGTAAATGTGGACTGTTCCCTATCCTGCTTGTCTAGTAGCACACCAGGGTTCAAACCTTTTGACTGAACCATGACTGCTGAACAACTTGGTGATCACCAATCATGTTTGCAAGGTTAGCCACAAATGGATGCCTGTCAATTAAAGTAAACTACTAGCTTTATCTGGGTAGTTTGACTTCAAAAGGTTCAAACTTTTTTTGATAAAAGGAAACTTTCTGTGTGTTCCTTTTTAGGAGTTGAGTGTGATGACATGTCCTTTCAGACTGGTGGGAGCTTACTACAGAACTTGCAGTAAGTGGAATTAATTTCAGCTAAGAAATATCATGGAGAGCTGCTTAAAATTTCCTTAAAATGTCACTTTTGCCATTGATATTCATAATTTCTTTTTTCTTTTGTTCCAAAAATGATTGGAAAAACTGCCATTTCAGATATCTACAATCCAATTATTAGTCATAATTTAAATTTTAAATATCCACAATGACAATCCATTTGAGATATCCATAATGTAATTTTGTATAATGAAAATGCATTATGATATCATGTAAAAATATCCTTATGGATATCCATAATTGCCTTTATGACTAGTAAATATGCAATTTCAGATATGTACAATTTAAAATTATGCCTATAAACAATGCAGTTGCTTATATTCACAGATGTATTGTGGATCTCTGTTCTGGATATCCAAAAATGCCTAAATGGCTCCCTTCAGACTTGTCATAATTGGGCTGGATTGCTGACGTTTTCCATATAACAATTATGTTAAAGTTATCCAGAACGTTCATTCTTGATATCAAATAATGCAACTGTGAATATCTGAAAATGAAAGCTTCGTACATTAACATGACTTTATTTATTTTTTCTATCATTGTGGATATCTGTGCATTGTTTGTTTACAACTCCGTAGAAGCAGTATGATATTGATGGTGTGAAGGGGTTTGCTCACAATATGTATAATCTCATATCACATCTAATTATAGAGGGAGTGTTTTGGAGGTTCAGTATGAAATGCTGCCCGTAAGACAAATTACATAGATCTCTGTCTTCATTTCCTCTCAAAGCTCACAAGTACTCAGCTACAGCCATGTCTCAGAGGAGAATGAAAGTGCCATCAGTGGTTTCAGAAATCTCAGAAACAAAACCATTCACCAACTACTATCTATCTGCACGCTAACAGTGGTCCTTGATCTGTCTCTGCCCCATACAGTACCCACAACTCAAACACATCAGCACCACACAGAGGCACGGGTGTATTTTAAGAGTCGACTCCATTCAAGTTGTTGATTGTTCAATTTTGTGACTTTTCTTTGTTTGGCTACACCAAATAAAAGTTGTATGACTCTTTAAAAATTGCCATATAAAAATGTAATCAGCTTTATGAATCTTTTTTTTTTTTTTTTTTGTCTCTTTTAAAAACCTTTTTGGGTTTTCAGTTTTCTCCAGAAACACAAAAAGCATGTTGCATGTTAGTTATTTTGGGGAAATGGCTTGTAATGATGCAATTTATGATCTGTCGTAAATTAACCAAATAAGCAAAGACTTTGGCTTGGTTCAATTTCTACATTTCACAATTGGGGGGAAAAACTTGTAGCTTGAGTTGAACGTGTAAGCAGATCTAACCCATTCTGCTTTATAATTGATAATTAATTTAGATAATTCCTAATTAATTCAAGTGCTGTGGATTATCATGTTCTATTTCCTAATATTTTCCAAATCTTCGATCTTCCCTTAGTGAGCTTTTACACTGTATAATATATATTCTTTATTCACTTGTTCCAGTGCTTGAACTGAGTGAAATATTCAAACTCAAGAGACGCCGAGTTAATTTGCTTCAGTTATTACCAATAGAAATATTCAACAGTTCTGTGCATCATTTTGTGCTTTTATGACCTAAATAGGCCTGTTGGAATCTTTACCACCTCCACTAAAATGTGAAATAGGTAAGTTTGAACGAAGCTTGACATGAGGCTCTAAAAACTGACCCACTGTTGTGTCTAGGGTCGCAGAGGTTAATTACTTATTAATCCAGGAGCTGTAAATAATAACATTCTATTTCCTTTTGGCTTTCTCTGCAGTTTCACAGACGAATGAAAGAGCTCACCCCATTTATCTATAAATGACTGAGTTCACTATAAACCGTTAGTATGCCAGGATGTCTCTACACCACTTTTATATTCTAAATTGCTTTCTTTGTCTTATGATTTATTTAGTTATTAAAGAACATTTTTGAAATAAACTCCATCTTCATGACGGTAAGAAAAGGTTGATATCAATCTCATGTCTGTGTTAATGCTTTGTTCACGTCCTGTTGGTGTTACCATAATTACCAGTGTCCCACTCATCAATAATCATAACCACTGAGAGGCTCCGACGTATGGAAGTGCCTAAAAGCAAAGAACCACAACAAACAAATATCTCACGTCAGAAGTTTATTGTTAAGGGCACTTAAACCCTAATTTAATGCCTGTTGTGCCATATTGCCAATGCACAGTATTTTAATTCTGACTTGACCATCACAACTTTAGAGTTGTTTGTAGATCTTGAGCTGTCTTCTCCATATCTACCCTTCCATATGACATGAAAGCAAAGTACAGAGCTGGACGTGGTTCTCCTAGCTAAGCAGGGTAAACAGCCAACCTGGCCCGTCCAAAGATTCACCCACCAACACCTGTGGAGCTCTGTCCCTGCACAGAGATAAAAAGTAAGTTATTGGCAAACCTTTTATAACATACTAGCGACGTGACTTTGGGGATGATAATTTCGGTCAGCCAAGTGGTCCACTGCTTTGATCTAGAATCTAGATCATAAGAAGTGGACGTAGTCGTTGTGACATCACCTATTGGTTTGTGGACTGTGGTTTTGAAGCTCTAAGTTTGACATTTTGGCCATCACTATCTTGGATTCTGTCCGTTGCCAATTTGTTTTTTACAACCAGTGAACCGAAGTGACCATATTTGGATCTATCTATTAGCCTCAGATTTGTGTTTATTAGCAAATGTTAGCATGCTAACATGCTAAACTAAGACGGTGAACGTGGAAAATATTACACCTGCTGAACATCTACATGTTGGCATTGTCCATGGGCCTCATTCCCTGATATGTGCAGAGAAATGTTCTTACTTTGTGCACAACATTTATGCACATGCAAAATAACTGCAGAATTGATGAAATGTGGGCAATTTTACCACCTACCATACATTATTGAATCAGAATCATTCTGAATGGGCGCTATTGGCAGTGAGCATGCTGACACGGCCCCATTTCTCTATATAAGGAACTACGTTTAATAGAATGAAGCAGTGAAGTTGTAAAAGAGAGAAGCATAGCCTTTTAAAGAGTTGTATTTAACCCTCTGAACATTGAAATAGCAGCAAACAACTATTTGCTATGTAAAGATATTGTGTAGTAAAGTCTACCTGAACATAGAATGAAGTCGCTCTGCCAACTTTTGAACAGTACAGTCCTATCTTTCAGTTTATCTGTCATTTCGGTGATGTTAAATTTGTCATATTTTGGCCTTTCCCTCATTATGAATCCAACTTGGCTGTTTCTAAAAGCCCATATTGTCTTTGAGCAAAGCGTGAGAAAGAGGAGGGGGGATCGATCTGCCGAGAGACAAAGGCTTCCTGTTCCATCATCTCACTTATACATTGAGTCCAAGACGTAATTTACATCTAGCAGAGGCATCTGATGGCATCAATCTCAGTCCAAATGGTGTGAATAACCTTGTACAAAGATGAATAGATAACGCATTTTAAATGACCTCAGAAGCTCTGAGTTTGGAAACAAATCAAATTGTTAAATTTCTTTTGAATAATTGAGTGGCTAAGTGGTCACTGTTATTATTTTAGAAAGGTTATCACAACAGAAATGGTGATTAAAAATGGCATTACATTAAAACCTCTCGTCAGGTGCTAGTTCACATATTTTCACATTGAAAGCACGGGTTGAATATTTTTTGTTAGAATACTGATGGAGAAAGCATACATTTAAATTAATAAATATCTGGGTTTAATTACCAACCAGCCAACAAGAAGACAGGACATTGTTATACCAGTAATACATCGCTGATGATAACTATGATCGGAGAAAAGCATCCAAGAAACAAAGGAGCCCATTAAATGGCACACAGCAGAGCAGGCAGAGGAAGGCCTGCACAGATTGCACTGAGAGGGGAGCTGTTATTTTGCACAGCTATAATCAAAGCCATAGTGATCAACAGACCTGCTGAGTTATAAATTGACATCTTAACACTGACAGCAGACGTCGACTTCTCACACTGCAAGTAGACTGCAGAGAAGCGGAACAGAAGGAAAGGAAGCGAAATAGAGAGGGAAAAATACTTTCTGGCATATTCATGTGCTCTCTTTCTTTAATCACTTGGTGTTTCTGTGAAGCCTAATCACGAAAACAAAGAGGCTTCAAATAATGCTGAAAAAACAAAGCAACCAGCTTCATTGTCGAAATGAACCCTGACTAATTGGGGTTTCGGTTAATCGAAGGCGTTTCACAAACGGGCCATATTCAGTGTTCAGCCTGAAGGGAATGGCTATCCTCAAATTTGAGGTGAATATTTGCAGAAAAGAGCAGATAGACTTGCATTTAATCTATGACATATTACTGAAATAACTTGATAATAAATACTGAAATTGTCATCACTAAAGACTAAAAATAATATCCCTATTATTGCCATATGGACAGCAAAAGCAATATTTTCCCATTTTGTCATAAACACATACACTGCACATGCACCACATACCTTTACATGCCACATACAACTCATTGTTCTACTCTGTCTCATAGCAACAAAGTATCCTTAGAAACTGAATCAACTTTATAACAAAGGATATTTATATCTTCATCGAAAACAATTCTTTAAATAGTAATGGATAATTCTGCAAGGCCTTGCGTCTGACTTTGCACGATTTGACTTGCTGGCCTCGTGATGTTCGGTTTCAATTAGATGACCCTCCTATTAATAGGATTTTCACCTAAGGTCTCTTCTTGAAAAGTGATTCTGAGATACATTACCGTACAAGAGTTGAGTTCATTCTTCACCTTGGAAATTGCAGTTGCCTTGATAATCTCACCACAAGGTTCTGGAACTTTAATCATATCACACAATCTCACCTCGGTCGTGAGGACCAGGTTGTGAAAACAACACTAACGTAGTTAATATGGCAAACTTGTTTGCAAGCAGCTGCTTACAGTATTTACACATACAGCGGCTACAGAACATTAGCATTCATTTGATCTGTGTTTTTGGTCTCCACCAACTCCTGAGAGAAACATTTCTGCTGAAACATTCCGTTATTACATTCATTTAGATCACGGTAACTGCATGATATCATAATTATGATGACGATACGTTAATTCTTGTAGGTTTAGTTTTATAGGTGTATTTTATCTGTTTCTATCATTGTTTTGTTTTTGCACCTGCAAAAGGATACAGAAACAATGTCAGTGACTTTAGACATATTGATATAACTAATCACAAACGGCAGTCAGGATAACCCCGGACTCTGGTGTCCAAGTTCAGGGTTAGACTTTCCACCAGCCTGCGGTTACATTAGTCACCACATTGGAAATATAATTTAGCACTGTATAAGCAACGTTTCTAGGAGACTAGGTTGGCCTGCTTTACAGATGGAGGATTTTTGAATATAAATTCACAACAATGAAGTAGATTGACATGGGGCTGCACTCTGCACCTGACTGTCACTGCTTTCAATTATTCCTTCACACATCTCAAGAGCCTGAATAAATTGAATTCCTTTAACCCTGTGGATCTAAAGTCTGATATTGCATTCTGATGGCTGAGTTGAATGTCAGCGGGGCTCAGAGCCCTGGAAACTAGAACTCTAACACAACAATTGGGATAGACCTTCATGGATAACATCAAAGTAAAGCCTCGCAATTCAATCCATATCATACTGAAAATACCTTTATTCAGACATTCAGAGCTCCATATGGTGACAAGTGTGTCTTTGAACAGCTGGATCTTCAAAGGAACTTCTCAGCTATTTTTACGGATGCACTCCTTCTGGTCACTGACCTCTGTACCAGAGTGACCCATCCTGCCATTTTCAAGAGGATGTACAGTATGTGTTACTCATTTTCACAACTCCCCGAGTGATCAGATGACTCTGTTTGCACAGGGATGAGTCCTGCTGCTCGCTGCCAAGCCAAAGGTCGTCAGCTGCTCACAGTCAGCGGGATGAGATCCTTAAAAGCTGGCTGCACAGTAGGAATCCTCATTTTCTTGCGGAAAGCAGTTTCTTCTGCAGAAAGCTATTTTTCCCTGGGAAGTAATGAAAGGCAAAATGGAGCGCTGGCAATGTTTGACAGGTGGATTAAGTTGAC